CAAATCAAATCTAGCATACGTGATTTGTTAAGGAGGAAGACAACATTTCTTACGCGAGGATAATAGTATACCTACGCTGTTACCTCATTGGTAAGTTCTTTAATTTGTGATAACCTAATTCATCATGCGTTGAAGAATAGTATTGAATTTGAAAATATAAAATCATAATTGAAACTGAAAATCGTGTTATTAAAATAAAGACGAAATTGACTCTGTACGGAAAGCACGTTGATGCTAAAGATGCGGTTTCGTAAACATACTAACGAAGTTTCGTATTTTCATTGCTATTTATGCTAGCACCGTGGAGCAATGTAGTAGTTAGGTTTCATGAGTAACGACATGGTGCATATTACTAATATTTGAATGTAGTACTACGGTATGGAAATTGAAAATTCTAGCAATGAAGCAGCCTGATCAACTTTTCATTTCACGTGTAGAAACGACACTTTAAAATATCGCAATCTGCCAATAATTTTGGAGAAAGATAAATTGTTATAAATAATAAAGGGAGTGCATATCAGCAATAAGTTTCTTTGCAGAATCCGAAATGTTATTACCAAAAAAAACCGGAAATATATTGCATACCTGCATTAGCCAATTGAACAACCGCTATAAGCGTGAGACAAACTTTATAAATCATACTTGGCCTACTATGTAAGCCTAAAAGCAATTTCTATATCAAAATTAAAAACAGTTATAAACTTGTCAATCAATCCCACATCTTTTTAAGTAGGTGGCCAACTTATTGTGGCATCTTAAATTGTGACCGAGGTACGACCTCTTTTGCATTGTGCTAATCAACCTTTGAAAGACGTCCTTCGCAGGGGATTAACTAACCACTACCATCATCTCCCCTAGCCTGTAATAAAGGGGTGAACACGCGGTGAACCAACACTATTTTTGTTTTTGTCATTCTGATAAAGCGTGTTACATCCTTAAAAAAACTCAACACTATCTCTCATGTATGGTCAATTTGATTCAGTCAATATGGTTAGCTACAAGATGCGGCTGAAAATGTTGAGTGATTATTAAATTCAGATTTCAATACCGCGTTATATTAATTACTTCTACTTCGTTTATTTATTTTCTGATTTAATTCATTGTGAAACATTCAATGAGCCACTCATTGTCAGCCATTGTCTTACTAGAAGTTTACTATCCATTTCTATCCTGAATATGGCTCACAAAGTTTGAAACGGCTTGCAACAATGGCGGCTTGCAACAATGACAGCTTGGTTCGATCAACTTGAACACAGTGGTTTTATAAGTAGGACGATGAATCGCAGACAAATTTGTTTACGAAGACGTGAAAGTATTAATGTTAATATGATGTCAGATGGAATGACTATCACGAGCCGCATCGTCACACAAATAGCCTCTAACCATTTTTAAGTTTGTCTCGAAGCTGACTAGAGAAAAGTATCATAAATATGGTGAAGTTTAATTAAAAACATGGTATTTTAAGACACTTGAATCTTTTTCCGCCTAAGGTGCTTCTGTTTTTTGCGCTATCTCCATTTATTAGTTATGATTCATTTGTATAATTCGTCTAATTATAAAACTGTGGCGAAAAAAAACAACTATTAATTTATCGAACTCGTATTAGTTTCACCTTTAATGCCGTTTTTATTAAAATTACTTTTCCTTTCTACTATACTGCAACATAAGCAATTTATCAACTGCTAGAAACTGAATGATTCGAAAAAATAAAAACATACATCGAATTGTTGACAACCCAGTCATACATTAATAAGTGATAAAATGTAGTACGGTATATGACAGAGGCATTAGTATATTCAATAAGAGGGTAATTATATCAAACACTGACCCTGCTATGGTCATCAGTTACCATACCAATAATTTTAAATTTAGTGGAATATTTTGCTTTTCGTTATTCATTAATTTATCGTTAACAGACATATCAAAATACTGTATGTTTCAATAAAACTGCAAACACAAAGCGATATTTTCATATAAATGTTAAAAATAATTGTTTTTAGTTTAGTAGAAATAGTTTTATACTGTTTTGTTTGAATAGTTTTGCTTTTCTACTTCCTGTGGTTGCCTGATCTTTATATACCTTCAGGTGCAAATGAAACATTTTCAAATAAGCTCGCACTTTTTCATTTCATCAACAACAAACACTTTCACTTGAGAATGTTTACCGATTTTGCAAAGATTATCGACCGCTTTCACTTTGTTAAAAACGGATTATCTAAAACCTGTTGATCGACTATTTTTTTCTAAAGCATATGTTGAAATCAACAAATAAAAGTACAATACTAATGTTTTTTCGGCTTACTGTATTTCTGTTTTTCATTTGAAATTTTAACAGCATAAATTTTTACGCAAAAACTTTGAAGACTTGCAGACATCAAATGTTCACGAAAGAGTATGCTGTTTATACTGATACCAATAATAATTTTTTTAATCTCGCCATCTTATAAATATTCTAAAGGCATTGGTATTATAATTTAATCTCCAAACTTAGTATTAACATGGCTGTTGTGTCTGCTTTATTGACGTGTCAGTCGCCCAGGGCCAATCAACGCAATATTAATATTTGTCATGTTTGGATTAATATTACGATTCCCCGGAATTATCGTGACCAGAACATGATTGAGTATTTATGGTTCGCGGTTTGACACAAAGTCATTATTTTGTAATGAATTAAATCCTCGTGAATTGAATCAAATTGATTCATTCAAAACTTGGCCTATGCATAGTACATTGCGGCTGACTCATAGAATTTAGGGATTTGTTCAAAAAGAATTGTTTTAAAACAACTGTTTTAAATCAAGTTTTTTTTGCCTGTTTTGTTCAAAATGGCTGTACTATTTGATTTTTTTTGTATTAAATAGGTTGAAGAAAAATGGATGTAAAAACTTACCAAGCGCTTCTTATTTGCAATAAATCTTTCAAAACGCCACAAATATCGATAGAGGGTCATACACACCTTCTCCACCTTGCGAAAATTGAAATGCGATCGAATAAATGAGTTTGTATAACCTTGAAAAACTCACTTCAACCTTAAAAAACATAGTATGCCGAGCATAAATTATCCGAACAGTATTAACCGTAACAATGACTTCATTTTATGAAAAAAATGCCAATACATGACCTCGAAACCCATATAATGACGTCATAACAGATTAGTTGTGGCGTCTTTGCACCAGAGGACTCTTACAATTGACATAGGCTAGGCTAGGGTGTCTCATCGTTCATATCAGTAGATAACCGCCGATATAAGCATATTCTTCATTATCACAACCCACTCGTTTTGCCGAAGGGCTGCACTTGATCGGCTAAACATTACGGGTAAAATCTTCTGACTTTGGTGGCGATAAATGTACGCAATAGTGGTAAAAGTCAAAATAAAAAATTTTACTTACAATTTTGAAATTATAATTCCGGCTGCGTGTGCAGCTGCCAGAATGCAACGTTTTGGCGTAGTTTCGCAGAGATACAAAGGGGTATTTCAATAAAAAATACAGAAAATAATTGATTTAAAACAACCCCCTGTTTTAAAACACGATGTTTTTTTAGAATTGATAAAAAACCCTACTCATAGTAAACGAAATACCAATTTGACTTGGGTATTAACAAAACTTCGTAAGAAACTAAAATCTATACATACAACAAAAATCGATATCGAGAAATAAATGTACAAATATAAGGAAACAATGAGTATAAATGGAAAATTTGAAAGTCATTAGTACATATTTAGGAAAACAGGGTGATTTTTCACAACGATAACTTCAACACTCCACAAGAACAATTTTGCAAAACAATCCACAGGTACATGTCTCGCCCAAAATACATGTGCCATAAATACTATTTCCCTCTTTAATTACAAATTAAAAAATCAATGTAATAATAGATAATATAGTAGTACCCTTGAGAAATTTTCAGTTCTACTGCTGATTTTTAAAAGCGATTTGTCAGTTACACGATAATTGTTGCGACAAGAATTTGAAAGCGATATAATAGATTTACATTTTCAAACTCACTGAGACTATAATACATCGTGATAGAATAGAATTGAGCGTTACTATATAAGCAAATCGTGCCAATACGACTAGAATGAAAAGCTCCACAGAAGTTCCACAGAACTGAAGGTAATGGGAAAAAATGGGTGCACTGAAAGTGGCGCGTTCGAACTCACTCACAGGACAGCCGCTGATATCTAACGACATTTGAGGGCTACTATTGTTTGAAAAAACGGAATTTTTTGGCATTCCCCACCAGATTTATCAAACCCATGTTTTTAATTAAACTTCACCATATTTGTGATTAAACTTTTCTCTAGTCAGCTTCGAGACAAACTTGAAAATGTTTAGAGGCTATTTGCGTGGCATTGCGGCTTTTGATAGTCATTCCATCTGACATCAATTTAACATTAATACTTTCACGTCTTCGTAAACAAATTTGTCTACAGTTTATTGTTCTTCTTATAAAGCCACTGTGTTCACGTTGATCGAACCAGTTGTTGCAAGCCGTTTAAAACCGTGCGAGCCATATTCATTATAGAAATGAATAGTAAACTTACAGAAAGACAATGGCTGACAATAACTGGCTCATTGGATGATTTCACAATGAATTTGATCAGAAAATAAATAAATGATGTAATTAATATAACGCGTTATTGAAATCTGAATTTAACAATCACTCAACATTTTCAGCCGCATCTTGTAGCTAACCATATTGACTGAATCAAATTGAAATACTTCGACTATAAATGAGGGATAGTAATGAGTTTTTTAAAAGCAAAGACCTGCTTTACCAAAAAAACAAAAAGAGTTTGGTTCACCACGGACTTACCCCTTTGTTACAGGTTAGAGGAGATGATGATAGAGATTAGTAATCCCCTACGAAGGACGTCTTTCAAAGGTTGATTAGCACCATGCAAAAGCAGTCGTACCTCGATCACGATTTGAGATGCCACAATCAGTTGGCGTCCTATTTAAAAAAGATGTGGGATTGATTGACTGTTGATAACTGTTTTTGATTTTGATTTAGAAATTGCATTTAGGCTTACATAGTAGGCCAAGCATGATTTATAAAGTTTGTCTCACGCTTATAGCGGTTGTTCAATTGGCATATGCAGGTATGCAATATATTTCCGGTTTTTCTAGTAATAACATTTTGGATTCAGCAAAGAAACATAGTACCGCATATATGCATTCTCTTTATTATCTATAACAATTTATCTTTCTCTAAAATTATTGGCAGATTGCGATATTTCGAGGTGTCGTTTTTATACGTGAAATAAAAATTTGATCAAGCTGCTTCATTGCTAGAATCCTTAATTTTCATACCGCAGTACTACATTCAAATATAAGTAATATTCACCATGACGTTACTCATGGAACCTAACTACTACACTGCTTCATAGTGCTAGCATAAATAGCAATAGAAATATGAAACTTCGTATGTATGTTTATGAAACCGTATCTTCAGCATCAACGTGCTTTTCGTACAGAGTCAATTTCGTCTTTATTTTAATAACACGATTTTCAGTTTCAATTATGATTTTTCATTTTCAAATTTATTACTATTTGTCAACGCATGACGAATTAGGTTATCCCAAAACAAAGAACTTACCAATGAGGTAACAGCGTAGGTATACTATTATCCTCGCGTAAGAAATGTTGTCTTCCTCCTTAACAAATCACGTATGCTAGATTTGATTTGCCATTGAAGCGCAATAAAACTGGATTAATTCCTCGACCACCTAATAACTGTTTCGTCAATTATAAGCATCGCTATCTGATCACGATGTTTCAACTTTCCTTTTCATTTCAGACCCTTGTCGTATAAATTTCGGGGGCTGTGACCGAACCAATGGTTTGTGCTGGAGCACGGGAAGAGAAACCCATTTTTGTTCTTGCAAAGCAGGCTACGAGGAAGTTCGTCGTTTTGGAAGACTGACGTGCCAAGGTATGTACGACCTGTTTTGCGACCATCATGATATAGATTTAAATATGCACCGACAAGAAAGTTACATATTACATATTAGTTTGGTACACGTCAATATAAAATAATCTTTATTTTCTTGGACAGACGTTGACGAATGTAGAGATAGCACTTCTTGCGGCCAGAATGCAGACTGTGTCAACACTGATGGGAGCTATTTCTGCGCTTGTAGATGTGGATACATTAATGATTACACTGGAAAGTATTGCCGTAAGTACAAAAAATATCTAGGGTAGCAATAAACAAACCGACATTTTTTAAATTTCCCTATTATAATACGGTTTAAGCGTAAGTTAGTCACGACCTTAAATTATTTTTTCAACATTGCTATATTATTGGTTTAAATGTCTTTTATTGACTCGTATAAGTCTCGTTGTGAGAGGTAGCTGCTTAAGATAACCATTTCTAATTACAGTCGATGCCAGTCGAATTTCGGATGCGTGCATGGAACCATCACATTGCTCCCACATAGAGAGTTCACGACCAAACGTTCGGTTTGATACGAGTTCTTCAAGAGACTACTTAACATATTACTTTGAATATGTAAGAGTACCATCGAAAGTAAACAGAAAGTAAGTTACTTGTGCAGATATTAAGTGATTCGACTTTTTGAAATTTTACCCTATATATAGTTTGAAAGATTTCAGGCTCTCTCCTGGGATATTTTCAGTTTATTTCCAACTGTTATGCATATTATTCCTTATAAAAATGTAGTTAATGAAGAAGAAAGTCTATTTGTGAGCTTTCGTCAAAATCGTAGTTCTAACTTCCGCTCTCAGAACACGATATAGATGCAAATGTGAAAGATCAAAGGTCAAATACTATTATATTAAATTTTGAAAATATCAGAGATGGGTGGGTTGGGTCTGCTGCCACTACGCGGTCTAAAAGATTGATGTGGGAGAGTTCCAGGTTTGTTTATTTGTATATTTCCCATTCAACTGAACTTTGTTTGAACTTTGTTGGCTTGTTGTTGTTTGATTCTGTTGCAGGATCTTTTTCCTGGAGTTCCAGTCTATTACGTTGATTCCTCGTCGTTGCCGGATTTTCAGTTTGTTTATCCAGAAGTGCTTACTAACAAGTTTTGGGATATTCGGGATAATTCTTATTTTTTAAATGCTGCTTGAGATTTTCACTGTGTTTGTTAAAAAAAGTCCAGAGTTAAGCAGAATAATTATGCGTCTGAATTTGATTGCAGGACCGTGGTAATGTTCCTGTGTAAATGCTTTGAAGGCAGGATGACGGTAAAAGGTATTGATGAATGTCCATTGACTTTGCAAAAAGTTCCCTTCATAGTATGTTGTCTATTAGGTGGACCATTGTATCCAGAACCATTGTATCTCGGAGTGTTCGAAAGTAAATTTGATGGATATATGGAAAGAGTTCGAAAAATTTCTAATCCTGATGTCCAAATTAGTTTGCAGTCGTCGATTAATTGATCTTTCATATTTGCAGTTAAATCTTGTTCTGTCTGAAAGAAGTTAGATCTATGATCTAACGAAAGCTTACATATATATATACTTGCTATTTTGTGGAAAGAGAATTTGCTATTTTTAGTTATCTTTATGATACTATCTCGATCAAGTGTCCTTGACAAGCGGTAACTGACAGAAAGAAAGTAAACAGGGAGAAAGACTCTGCAGTTCAGTGCACAATACCCTAGCCTAGTACCTACTAAGAGTAGCTAATTGAATAATAATTTCAAAATAGAACTAGCACAATGTTTTACGCGGAGTTTTCTTATTATAAGCATATATGCGTGCAATATCCGCGATGCTTTTTAGACAGAATTGAGGCGAGAATGATGCCATTCTTATTTCAGAAGAACGATGACACATAACGTCATAGGTTTATTCCTTGCTTCGACATTGTATTTCAAATTATTGATATTATTTTAATTCAAAGGTGTGCGATTCATTACGACATTATAGATAAATTGATGGACCCTATTCATTTTATGTGCCATATATTGCATTATACGCATTTTGTTTGGGTGGGCAACGTAACCGTCAGTATCAAAATCGACGGAATAAGTTATTATATGTTCAAGCTACAAATACCATGCCTGTGAGGAAATATGATAATATTCTATCGTTTATTTACGTAAGAAGTCTTATACTCCATCAACAGTTAAAATATAGCTGGTTTCAAGTATCAGGAGTAAATACATATTCATCCTATAATAAAAAAAATTGCCTGAAATAGTGACGTGTAGGCTTGCACGTAATTTACAGATTTACGGAATTGTGGAATTATTTCGAGTTACGGAAGGGAAGTTACGAATTACGTAAAGTCGTAATTATTGGTCGAGCGCTTTCGCGATTGAAACGAGCTCTCTTCAAAGCAGTCAATTCCGTCAATTGTAAAAAGTGAAAGTTTAAAAAGTAGAAGAAGTTAGAGCTTCGGTATTTGCAGCCGTTTTTTCACTTTTCTCTCTCTTGTCAATACGTCACCGTGATAATTAATGTCGCGCTTATCAAACACCAATATGACGACGGAAGAGAAATTGCGTAATGAACCAACGCAACTTCGTCTTTTCGGCATCGGTAAAGCGATTGAGACGGCAGAGAAACAACAATATGACGGGATTTCCCGCGATCCGGTAAAAATCAGCAATATGACGACGGAAGAGAAATTGCGTAATGAACCAACGCAACCTCGTCTTTTCGGCATCGGTAAAGCGATTGAGACGGCAGAGAAACAACAATTTGACGGTCCGCGGACCGGCGGTTGGGAACCACTGTTTTAGAATACTTAAATCGAATCCAGAATCCTATTCTATTTTTATATTTACCCGTATTTAAATAGTGGTATTTCTCCACCACAATGCATGTTTGAAATTTAAAAAAAAGCTAAATTGTAGCCTAAATGTTTAATGTATAACTATCTTTGTGCAGTATTTAATTGAAAATGTCCTGATCATTGGATTATATTTCACCAAGGCAACGAGATTTAAGAATTTCGACGATCGTTTTTTTTGTTTTTAACAGTTCAATATTCTCAATTTAACTACTATCAAATATCAAGTATGAGCCAGTGTGTTTATTCTGTGCGAGAACCATTTTCAATTACAAAACCTTGATGTTCTGTTACCGGTTTTATCGTTTTATATCAGTCCGGACTTGTCCTTGCTCAATATATTTTCCACAATGCCTCGCAATATTTCGGCCAAATATGATTAACTGTCTTTACCAAATGCGGCAACTTATTTTGATTCTTGAAAACCACCGACACTCGACCAAATTTGTGTCAATCTTGGCCGATAAGATCGTCGACTTGAGTTAGAAGAATAAGTTAATTTTTTCGTGAGTGCAAAATAAGTGTCACAATATGCATTTTTTTGCGATATAACTTTGTATTTTCGGAAAAGCCATATCATATAAGTACGGTATTTAAATTATGCGCAAATAATTAATATTTGATCTAAATTTGTTGCAAATAATGTTACAACATTTAGGCCGCGAAATGATTTAATGTAAAATGAAGCATGGTAATCGGAATAACGTCAATAAGTCGGCATCAATAATTATTATAAAATGCTGACTAGGTAGTAAAGTCGAATAATGTTAAAAACGGTGCAATAACAAGTCTTCGTCGCGAGGCAAGCGCAAGTATAATCAAACGAGAGAATACGCTCGTCGTGGCATTGATAAATTGGAAACCCGACATTTTTTTTTAATACGATTTTAAAAAATTCAACTATCGTTTCATAAATATCCGTATACCAGTGTCGGTAATGATAAAATTGATTGCATAAAATTGGGACGGTTAATTTGCGAAGGTGATAAAGGAAATCAAAGCTAGCACAAAAGATAAAAATCAGAATAAAATTAATTTGAATTCACTCTTGTCTTAACATCTGTCGCCGGAATATGAAAACCCAAACTCGATGTCCCAATCGAAAATGAAGTGGATTCAATTGGTTGTTATGATAAGTTTAAATATGTGAAAAAATATCGCAATTACGGGGACATTACGTAATAGATTTGGCCGTAATTACGGAATTGATTTTTGTCAATTACGTGCAAGCCTAGTGACGTGTCGAAATAGTACTCCGATGTCATTTCTAAACTCGAATTTCTTTACGACAAATGTACAAATGGAACCTTTAGTAAAGTCTACCATTCCATGAAAAACTATTTTATATTGTAAATTATCATATGACGGACTCTTGAGGCTTGTGTTACAGCACCAGACGTTGTAAATGTGAACAGGGATTTACATTGAACAGATGTGGATATTGTGTAGACATAAACGAGTGCCAACGGGACAGAGGTAAGAGATTAAGTATTTTTGATGACTCACAATTTTACTACTATTAATATGATGAAATAAGGTATATGGAATTGTACATTCACATTGACGCGAGTAAAGTGAATAACACCATTGTTAGGGGGATACGCACTATTGTCCAAAACTTTTAATAGCGAGTCATTTCTCTACGGTTATTCGACTGCGAAACTCTACATGCTATATGTAACGAATGTTCCCAGAGCTTCGACTTCATTTTATCTCTGACCAATCAAGCAATAAACTAGCTGCAACAACGCAATAGTTGAAATTCATGCCGTTGCTCAGATACATTTTCTTTCGAACATTTCAAGTTTAGCTGTGAAAGTTGATTCACTTCGTGTCGATTGCAAGTTTTTAGTTTTCTGAGATGTGAACTCTGTATAAATTAAACCGTTCACACAAGTTAACTTTAAAGCCTAAAACCCTAAAAAATTTGCAATGATAGAGCATAAAAATATTTTAAGTGGTCAAAGTTCAGGGAAACTTTATTGATATCTGACATTGTCCTATGAATGAGTTAGTGGCTAAACGAAAAGAAGTTTGCAAGAAAAGAATAGTTTGCAAAATTTAACTAGACTGGAATATTGCTTTTAAACTGGTTGTTACAACTCATTTTTCACTAGGAGTTTGCAAAGGTAACCAAGCACGCTGCATTAATACAGAAGGAAGTTTTTACTGCGAATGCGATAACAATTGGATTCTTGGACCATGTAGAAGAGAATGCTTTGGTAAAAAGAAACCGTTTTTATGAATGAATTTATTTATTTTTCTTAGCAAATCATTGCCAATTGATAAAAAATGAAAGTTCACGTTCATGATGTCAGATGAAATTACATTTTTTTAAACAATATTTATCATTACATTTTGCAGAACCGGGAACACAATTGTCGCTATTCTGTAAGTTACTTGTTTATTGAATTCACAAACTGATAAAAAATATTTATTTCAGACGTCGAGATAATTCGGCGCACCACATGCACCATGTTCAGGACAAATGTAACAAACCAATATCAAAAGTGTAATATTTGTTTTCTATTAAATTTGATCATTCCATTATTAATCTCAGACAAATACATATTTTTTCGGAATATATCTATTGTTACGACTAAAATTGACTTACCGTACAAACCAATGCATAGTAAAATGGTAAGACAGATTCAGATTAAATACTACATATTTGTATTCGAATAAATTTAGTATTTTCACATAGAAATAAAATATAACATGTACTTCTCTTTCCTTCAGTTTCTGATAAGTTAGTTTCATCTATTGCACACTTGAAAAAGCAAACTCAATTTGTTGAAAATGATTTACAAAAAACTGCGCAGTTTGAAACAATGAAGCAGTAATTACCTGGTTTCTTTCAATGCTAATTTTCGATGAGAAAAAGGCAGCAACCCGTTAATTGCTGAAAACATTGCCTCATCAGTAAAGCGTATGCCATATTGAATAATACAGCCTATTGTTTACTTTTTTTTAGGTGAAACACCACAACTTGGAATTTTAGAGTCACTGGGTGAGTACGTTTATATAAAAAATAAAAAACTACACCGTATTGTAAGTTATTCATAACTTTACTATTTGTTCGTTCAATAAACTGTACAAATTGTGGAACCTATTTTTTTTCTTAAATTAGGATTCGAATTCCGTTCATTCGTTCGGCCACATCTCCTTACCAATTACAGAACTTGTGGCGCCGGAAAAAGGACGGGAGAAACGGTGAAATATATCTGATTTTAATAATATGTTCAACAATCCGGGATTGTTTATTTCTGTAATAATTTAGCTACCCGTTGGTAACTTGACAACTCCATTACTCCTCCCACATGTTATTTGGACACAAAACTGCTCTATGGATCGTTCTTTTCATTTGTTGTTGATATTCTTGTAATGTAGATATTGTTGCTGTGTTGTTTTTCTCCTTAACTAGTGGACCAATTGCTTCGAAATTTTTAGTAGTGAATAATTGTTGTTTTCGCTGGAAGGCTATTACTCTTATTTATCTCAACAATTTATGCGGGCTCTATAGGATCCGTTTTTTTTTTACTTAGAAGTTTTGTGCGATGACGTCATCAAAATGGCGGTTACGCTATCGCATTCCAACGATCTGGTAGTCAGCGAAGTCGAAAACTTTTTGATTTCGGAAACTACCGGTACTGTAGAAAATAATACTTCGTTTGAGCCTCCCTTTTCTTCTACTTCAGCATTGCTCTCATGTTTAATAAACACTGTTTAGCCATTTTACAAGCTTGCATATAAAAGCATTAATAACGTTTCTCAAAATACTAATGAAATGATTTGAAATTTAGACCATTGAGAGGTTTAATCTCGATGCTAACAGTGGAACTGATGTAACACTGACATGGGATTGCAAAGAATCACCAAGAGAAAGTACTTTAAAAAATATTGCCGAAGAAGAAGGTGAGATTTATTTATAAACTCCCTGTCACTTAAATGCGTAAAACATCATATTTGAATTACTGCTGGGGAATAAATTGAACAGTAGATAGAAAATGCTTTCAATGTGAACGTTTTTGGTTTGAACAAATATTATGGGCTACTCAAAATTATGTTTGAACAGAGGTTTTATAGTCAAAAGAAATGAGAGAAAATGATTTACTGCATTCAGAAAATATGATGGCTCAAAATATAAGATCGTTTAATTACTGAAAAGTATTGAGTGATGCGTGAATTGGAAAATAAAAACAAATTGAAACGACTAACTTGTATGATTATATTCTTTGAAAACAGCTCGATGGGATAATTGGACGTGCTGGACCGCCTGCAAAGCTACTTGTTGGGGAGGATTACAGACTCGAGTGAGAAACTGTCTCAATGGTCTACCTGGACTTGATGGATGCCTCGGAGATGGCTCGGAAAAGCGAGAGTGTTACACTGGACCAAAATGCCGTAAGATCCTATTTTTTTTATATACGCACCATACAAAAACAGAAAACATTAAATGAAAATAATTGTAAAATATGCATTCTTCCCAACACAATACATCAACATATATAATATGGTTGACGTTTATTGTTCTCAGTTATGTAACAACGGTATTATGTAAAATAATAATAATATATCATTATCGCGGAATAATTGCAGCAATGTTTATGTAGGCAAAAATCGTTTACCCCCCTATTGTGCGTTACCACAACAATTTGATGAAGTCCGAGTTAACACACTTGCGCGCATTACTACGTAAATAATTAACTTTTGATGAAATTTTCTGTTTTGAGTGTGACGATATATAATATAGCACAAGAAGTTTGCTCTCATTGCTTCTCATTGGATTTAGTGGAATTGAACTCATACTTTCATTGTAACAATCGATAACAAATCATTCTTTTTGCGTTACAATGATAATTCGACTTTTAAGCAAAAAAGGCGATTGCCACATTTTTCCCGTTCACAACAACATGAACAACCTTTACAACAGAAATTTTGAAATACTATTCAGAGGCCCATATTTCATGCCTAATAGTACAGTTTCAGGTCAAACTAAATCACATAATATCATTTTGTACGTAGCCTTCAGAGTTCGTAAACACGCAGCACAATTGACAACAGCGGAAATTGCCGACTTGAGGCAAGCAATGGAAAGGTTTAAGGAAGACACTTCAGCAACCGGATTTTTCAATTTAGGTGAGTCAAACAAAAGGGGAAAAATGGAATAAAAAATGGGAAACGGAAGTTGGTTGAAGATGATTAAAATAAATCGATAAGTGCAACATTAACTCGACAGATATTTGAATAACATATTTTATAATTTAACAACAACACCACAATGTTTTGTATAATTACAGCCGCGGCCCATGGTTGGCCAGGACAATGCATGGTGAACAATAATAGAGAATCATGTTGTCCCCACGGTGCAAAACTTGGGTTCTTGACTTGGCACAGAAGTATCATTCTTAACTTTGAAGAAGGGCTATCCAGGTATGATGTATTTTACTTATTGTATTCGAAGTCAACAATCTCGCCACAATTTTTAACTTGGCAAAATTCTATCATCTTACTGCTTATATTTTTGAGTTCCTCACTCACAGGTACTTACGAGACAAGACACTCGGCATACCGTATTGGAATTTTCTGGCTTCGGGCGAAGACAGAGAGCCTCCTCAATTTATACTTGAGCAGTGGTACGACTTCTTCCGACCAAATCCTTTTGCAAACATGACAGTGCGGATAGACCGAACAGGCCCTATGAGAACTATTCAGCGGGACGCTATATTTAGGGTGAGCATTGGCAAATAAACAAATGTTTGCCAGAAATTTTTCCTTCTTTTGTTTCAACAAAAAGTAGTCAATGATTGCGGTAACAATGATATTCATTAATGTTAATCTTCCCGTATTGACTCGATATGCTACCAAAATTTTGCACATTTCTCTTTTTTACATTCACCAAAACTTTCTTCTCTATCAGCCAAGACTGGACAATGCCGAAAGACAATGGTTAAATATTGCATCGGTTAAGATGTCACCCCATCAGTGGCACGATTTTGCAGAAGCCACAGAAGCTGCTCACGGAGGCGCTCATGTGTCAGCTTGTGGTCAAGGAAGATTTACCCAAAAATGTGCTATATCGTTTGGTACGTATTTTTCATATTTAAGCACACGCTATGAAACTTCTACTCTGGTTTTTAAATGTACGCAAAACAATCCTTGAGCGAAAATAAGCTTGAATGGGAAATAAGGAGATAAATTGAGATTTAAAAGGTCCAACCTTCTAGTGCAGGGTTTATTTCAAACATTAAAGTTATTCCCCCCATTTAAAAACCAGACGTTTTATTAAAAGGTTATAAAAAAGCTATTTAGGATATTACCTTCAGATTCAGAGGATATCTTTAAAAGAGGTCCAAAACTTTTACTCTTATAAGTATGAATACGCCAAGCATTAAAAATAATAATAAACAAATGACGTCAGAAATGTGACGTCATGTGAGCCGAGTTTTTGGTAACCTCGATTCCGCACCTATTTTTAGAAATATTTGATTATTTGTTTTTTCACATTTATCGTGCAGGTCCATGATTTTTTGAGATAAGATTACTAATTAATATAAAAATGTTATAAATTTATATTTCCTTTTCCAGCAAGTCTTGATTTTTCCGGATTTGACCCGTTGTTTCTGCTTCATCACTGCAATATTGATCGATTATGGGCAGTGGCTCAAAAAACAATGAAGGATGATGGCAATACAACTTGGACTCTTCAATCTACCCTAGAAGCTTTTGAAGATGCATCAATTTTCAGGTAAGAAGGGAGAACTTATGGCAAGTTTCTCATATAATAATGCGTGTATCACGTAATGCTAGCCGGTTCATAAAATCTTCTACCGTTTTCATTAGGTAAATTGTCCAATCCATAGAAGATATGAAAACATGAACATGTTTTTAACGCCTTTGCAATCATAGGTGGGACTTTCTTGTCTTAGAAGTTCCACTCGAATGCAACTAACCGCAGTAGTACTCAAAATTAGAATTTGACTCATAAGTTTTTTTCATACTGCGTTGATTCTCATTAATATGGAACAATATGTTATTCTCATTTCGAAGCATGAGAAGAAATGTTTGGGGATCCACTGCTAACACTTGTTATTTTTTGTACTACAGTAAACCGTTCATGCCTTTCGCGAATTCAAGTTTGAGTTCATTCCCAGTTGTAAAAGCCACAAATACAATGAGGGATTCTTACTATTATGAAGAACTAACCGGTGTCAAGTACGATTATCTTGGTAGCAGAGGATATCCTCCTGAACCACAGCGCGGGCTAGACATTTCAAGAAATCCACAGGGTGCTGTGTTGTTTGTAGGTAAGATACAAAAAACACCATAGCAATAAAATGTAGGAGTTACATACCGCATTTTCTTTACTTCATTCTGATGTTATCTCGTGCAAGAATTTTGTGGCAGTTACAACAGTATCTGATAAATAAACTAAAGAAAATGAATAAACTGTCTGCTGTTACACGATATCCAAAAAACGTCTGCATCTAATGATATCAAATGTATCCATAAGAAAACGAGTATCTATGGAGTTACATTTAAGCAAAACCATAGGCTAACAACAGAAAATATTCCTTTCGTGCTTTAATAGTCTGAGTCGCCAATTGCACAAACATGATAATTTTACAGCTAGAGTAACTTTTCAATTTATTTTATACTTGGTCTCTTATTTCATTATTTGTTTCTTGGTCGTAATGTTTTGATATATATATGGTAAAGTGTGTTTATCGGAGCTTTTATCGGCAAAATTTATGAAATATTCTTCAAAGAAAATGTATATATCTATATGTTACCACATCAATATATTTCTATATTCAATTTCAGCGCAATATTTCTCCGACACATCTTCGAATTTCTATGTTAATTATTACGATGATTCAAGTAACAGACCCTGCTCTCAATTGACCAGTTTCAACCGTTTAGGTGGAACTTTGCGGTTGGGTCAGGCTACCGCTCTCCGTCAGCGTGTTCCTCAATTGACACTCATATCCGACCAAGAGGTAATGTAGTATTATATTGTAGCATATTCGCTAAACTTTCATTTTTTTTCATAAAAATGTATTAACTTTTAATTGAAAGCTGTTCTGATACCAATACAGGTAACCCTTTATGTAACACAAAAAATGCAGAGTCAGTTCAAAACTGGTTGTAGCTTTGGGGATGAAAATAATTTTTCCACTACTACTGGAACAATCATATTCGAAAATTTTGGTAGTTGATGAAAGAAAGTGTCTTTAGAACTTGTGATACGAATTATTGAAATTGTTGTTTCGAATAATTTTTCTAATTATGGTTTTACTTTTGGCTGATTTCGGCTACAGTATTTTGTGTCCTGATAATACTCGATTGCGTCAATTTCTTGTTATTTTACAATACTAAATAATGTTTTTTTCTATTATTTATGTAGCCCGTATCTCGGCTTGATCAAGATCTTACTGTAAGGGCTTGCTACACTTCCATAAATTGCACGGAGCGATGTCCAGAAGTATCTGACCCTGCTATCCTACAATTGCCAACTCCAAATTTGGTCTTTTACGTCCCGAATACACGTAAGACGTAAATAATTGACGAATTTCATAACATTTTAAAGCAAATGTAATATTCAGGCAATATAGAACACTCAATCATATTAATTGTTAGCAACTCATCGTTCAAACTAAACAAAACTACCGATTTTTTCAATCAATAATGATTTTTGGGATACTTCAACTTAGATCGAAAAACCAGCAAGATTTAGCGTCGGAAGCTTTCTTAAGGAGATAAGTGCTGTTTAGCCGAGATCACCTAGAAAAATAAATTATTTCACAAATTAAAGTAAAAGATTACATTTGTATCTTTTTAGCTGTTGATATTTACAAGTTCTACTGGGCAACAGGCCGAAGACTTCCATCCTGGTACATCAACATTGCAGCAATAAATCAATGGGTGTACTTCTACGGTAACAGACGAAACAATATCGTCCAAGTAAGTGAATATGTAAATAAAATTATGTTGTGACCTATAAACGTATCATTTTATTTATACCGAAGCAAATTCAATAAGATAATAATGCTAAAACATATGAAAGAAGCGGAATTCGCGCATCGGTACGGTTAAGGTTATAGCTGAGTGCCGAGTTTGCTGAAACGATAGGTGAGCGTGAAGAAATAAAATGTTCCCATGAGTTATATCTGTTTAATATGTGTGAAATATATGTAAACACAACAAATTTTACGTAAACTATCGGGCCATAATAAATTCAGTGGAAATGAAAGTAATGCCCCTCTAGTGGCAAACATCCTAAAGTACAAAAAATTAGAAATAGATTGGTAATTTCGTTGCGAAAAAGCGATTTTTGTCAATAACAACAAATTCTTGTCCAATGACGCTTTTTAACAATTTCAGGTACGTACCTCCGCGGAATACTTCAGCTGTAATGCAAATTCAGGGCGAAGATTGTCATGCAGTATCAGCGGCAATACTGGCGGTGCCTGCATTTTCCCCAGTGGAGTGTACTTCTTAGTTGATAGCAATCCATCTTTCTGTAGAAATGGCTTGCGAATGATAATCGTCTCCAGACATTAGGAACACTTAGTATATTGAGAAATCGGAGTTATCTTTGGATTATCCCTAATAAAACACACCCTTTATAATTTTAAACGCACATCTTATAACCGCTTTTGCAAGTATTGCGAGTATTAGCAAGTCAGCAAGGTTCATGAAAAAAGAAATTCCGATTTACTTATCACTAAATAAATCTTATCAAAAAGTTGTTTTGTGTATGATCTCTTTCACTTTTACAACAAGTTAATAAATTACCTAGAATTACAGTGTGTTGCAGTCTCATAACATGTTTTGTTACGATGTAAGTAAGTACTTACAAATGTTCTTAAATTGGCTAAAATTTTAAATCGGCTGAAATATATTTAATTTCACTTCTGCAAAAAAATGTTCTCAACAAATATTTTCTATCGTCGTCTAGATGCGCTATTATCCAATACCCAAAATTGCTTTTAAATCTGGTTCACTGACACGCTGATTTCGCATATATACAATAGATGTGTTTAGTACTTTAATCTCGGATTTTCAACCTTATTTTCTGTTTATAGTCAAAATACATGCATTTTGAGTATTGTTAAGTTTGCAGATTGTCATCACATACATTACAAAATATATAATATGGTGAATGCTTATTTTCTTTGTAAAGTTTGCGATAAATGTCAAAACTCAGGTGGGAGGTATTGCGGTATGTTTCAATATTAGACTGCGGGATTCATTTTCTTTATTTTAGATTTTTATTTTCCCCTATCATACAAAATAATTGTTGAAATATTAAAAGGGGTCCATCTTTAAATAGGGATATTTTAGCATCAGTAGAATGTGCCATGGTGCCATCTTCTTAAATTCGTACTAAACGGATTCAACGCGGATCCTGTTGTGCATGGCATAGTGTTCTGAACTCATACAATTTAACTTGTAGTGCCTCTTACAAAGTCGGTTGAGTTTTTTAATACTATATAATTGTTCATCGCTGGAAATCTGGATCACAGCTGTACATGTTCGACATATTGAGGTTGTTATCCCGTATCAAGTTTCGGATGACTACGAGCTATTTGGAAGACCAAATTTAACTTAGTTGACAAATCAGACATGAATTGAAAATAGACAACCTTTCATAATTTGTGATGCACATTGTTAAATTTGGATGGCCTTAAAACAAAAAAGGCAAATGCACAATCCCGCGAACAAACACTGGAACGAGCGGTCGATTGTGAGTCTTTTCATGTAGCATGCCGTTAAAAATTTTCGCCCTCTGGTGTTACTTGATTCTCTGTCGTTTTTCATCTAATACTGGTTTTCCGAGTGAATCTTTGACACCACAATCAAAATTTTAATTTGGTAGAGGCACTAGATGTGAAAAGGTGCTTTGATTTGGTAGCGTGCTCGATCTTTAGTGGAAACTGTACCTCAGCATTAACAAGCAACATTGACCGTTCTCCGGATTGCTAAAACAATGTATTCTCAGAGTGACTCGAAGCCATATACATTTTAGATAAAAAGTCAGGTATCCACTTGGCATAAAATGGCTCAAACTTTTTTGAGTTCTCGATTAGACGAAGGAATGGGTAGATCTAATTAGGTTTCAAGTCTTTCAGTGCCAGGCTGAATAAATCGTGTGTAACATGATACTCAAATAAACTAATCTCCTTTAGTGCGATAAGAGAAAAATGGTTCTATTTAGGGTGAGGTCTTCTAATCTTCCTCGGGTTAAAGGTATTTGATATATAAGAGACAGATTTTTCTCTAAGCAAATTGGTATACTTGATCGCCTATTTGTGGAAATGAGTAAGATTCAAGTAAGTAGGCTATCTGACGATAGTCTTAGAATATTACACCACCATTCGACGTTTATGACGCTCGTCTTCAATAACCAAGACTTGAACAGAGAATTGGGATTACAATGACAACTTCTTAAAGTAGATTGGCGATTTCTGCACGAATGAACCTGTTTGTTCTCTTCATTGGAACTACGCGATTTGTTGGCGATCGAACGTCATTCATTCTCGAAATTTTTGAACAGACAAGAAGTCGCCATATTTGCCATTGCAACTCCATACGAGTCTTCCAGCATCCATAAAAATATAATATTGTGACAGAACATCTTATATATATACCATAAGCATTTTCTTCGTATGAAAGCATTGGTTCTAGCAAGTAGTAATAGGCTGCACAGCAGTATTATCTGGTTTTGGTAAGGAGTTCACAATCGGGCAAATAAGCGAAAGGGTCCAAAGGTTGGTGTTGCGGAGCCTGTGAAGATGTTGACTATAATTCAAGGAGCCCTAAAATAAATTTTAAAATTGTTACTTAACGATTAATACTACTGAGTAAGTTAAAATTACTTTACTTGATTTAAATGCTAAACCTTTTTAATGGACCTTTCCCCGAGCATCAACTTCCTTGTTTACTTCGTGACATTGGCCAATCAGCAAAATGCGAAAAGTGACGTAACAATGCCCCCTTTCCGCATCCGCTCAGACACTTTTTTCACTCAGACAGATTTTCAAGCGTGGTTGTAAACATTACTTCGTTTTCGCGTTTTTGAACTCTATTCGTTAGTTTTCAGTTGTGTTTTGGAAACTTAAATATAAATCAGATAATTCAATGATCACTCTGTCTTCCTAGGAGTTTTAATTTAATTGCAGTGAGAAAAATTAGTGTAGAAATAGCTGTGATAGACTAGCTTGAAATTCTTTACCGGTATCTTTAAAAAGCAGATTGTTGTATGCAATAAATCACAATGATGGTTTGAAACATATACCCCATTTCACAGACGCCAACATGCAAAAGCACTCCTAAAATAGCCCCGAAAATTTTGTAATGGTAAAGTATAGGAAGAATTTTCTGGGGGTTAAAGGTCGGGGAAAGGTCCATAGGGTTAATACAAGTCATAAATAAATCTAAATTTCAAAGATTAATCATATATATTAAGGCTGTAAATTTGACACTTGACAAACCTATTAATAAATTAGGGGTCGAATCTTTTTTCTTTCGATATTTTTGGGAGACTTAAAAGGATTTAAAACGCTTTTTTAGACATTGCAAATGACAATATATATTTGATGTTATGTTAGGTTTTCGTTGGTTATTCATTGTAGTAACTGAAATCGAAACCCATTCTGAAACTGGTATCTCTAGAGCAGGGGTTCTCAACTTGGGGTTCGCGAACCCCCAGGGGTTAACGAGAAGGTTTCCAGGGGTACTTGAACGGCAGTTGAGTTTTCATGTGTTGCTTTTTTTTATGTTCTTTACTATCAGAGAAAAATGCGTGGATTTTCCTTGATCTTGCGTTGCTGTGACTCAGCAATTTGAAATTCACAGCTTTGCAGCCAAACTGCGCAATCTCAAAAAGACAATATGTGTTTGCTACTCGAATTGAGAACAGGGACAGCCTTCAAACTAATGTTCTGTATAAATAAAACGAATACTTTTATTTAAGATCAGTTAAAACAGTGGTTCCCAACTTTTCTGTCGGCCCGGTAAAATTAAATAAAATGTACTCGCGAATCGGCAAAAAATTGAAATGAGTGGAATAGAAAATAATAACATATATTTGCGAAATGTAATGCAATTTTGGACACTCACTGTGCTTCTAGCTAAAAAAAAGGCACATTTGAAAACATTTCACATGAATAAAAACAAATAATGCGCCGACCTCAAATTGAGTGGAGTGAAATGAGTGGATCAAACTCCAGAATTGGACCTTTGTCATCGTTCTTGGTAAAAAATGTCAAAATGTTGGTTAACTCATATTAATCCCTCTGCTGTTAATCAACGCCTCAAACAAAATGAATTTGCATTAAGATGACAAAGTCGTCGGTAACTTGGAATTCACAGCCCTACTGTTCATCACATGGAAAAGATCTCTGCGCCTCATGCTTTTGTTGCGCGTCTTGTTACCACATGCAGGGTTGCAACAAGCTCGTATTTTACTGGATGTCAAGACGAAACCCTAATATATTATACTGTCCATGACTGTTTAATGGGTTGAACAAAGAAATATTCATAATCATAACCTTTTATTTGGATGTTCATATTAGGCAGAAAAAACATGCAGAACAGGAAAAACACGTGTGTCGGTCTTTTGGTTTCTGAATATTGCGAGATTTGACGGACGCTTTTGCGATGAATCGGAACCGAAAAAGCGAAAAGTGTGAAAACTTGGCGCCAAGACGTCGTCGGGCCATTAAATCCGCAAACAGCAATATGTCGGCGAAAGAGAAATCGCGTAATAAACAAATGCAACATCGTTATTTCGGGTTCGATGAAGCGACAGAGACAAAAAAGCTTCTGGTGCCGGTCCGCAGACCAGCGGTTGGGATCCAATGCTTTAAAACACAGTTTAAAAATTGTTAGTCAATATATTACAACTTTGTTTGGTGTCTGATTACTGGGGGTTCGTGTTGAATATTTCATGACTTCGGGGGAACTTAACGGGGGAAAGGTTGAGAACCCCTGCTCTAGAGTCTAACTCTAGAATCTAGACCAGGGGTCCGCAACTACGGGGTCGCGAAGCCCTCCGCTCTGGGTCGCGAAACAATTTAAATTTTCCATAAATATGAGCATCGCGTCTGTGCAGCGTATTTATGTATAACAACTTTATAAATCTCTGATTATATTCATGAATGTTTCCCCGAGTATACACTTGCCAATCAGCATACGTGCAAAATTGAAGTGACAATAAACGTTTCAGAAGCGCTCAGATACTTTTGCCAATCAGACAGTCTTTTGTGGTTGTAATATTATCTCGTTTTGTCGTGTTATTTGTTAGATTTTAGTTGTGTTTGGTAAATATAAGTCCTAAACTCGCAAAACCATTCTTGAAATAAGTACCAATAATTTTGCAATGGTAGAGTGTAAAGAGGAAGAATTCAAGAAATCCAAAGTCGGGGAAACATTCGTTACTTAGTTGTTCGCATTGTTATCTCCTACTACGTAGACTTTAGGTTCTCAAAGTGCTCCGTACGTAGCCTCAGGACTCTTAAAACTGTCCTCGACCCACTGCCCTATCTCCATCTACTTACCTATATATACTATACTACTATAGTTGTTCGCATTGTTATATCTTACTACGTAGACTTTAGGTTTTCAAAGTGCTCCGTACGTAGCCTCAGGACTCTTAAAACTGTCCTCGACCCACTGCCCTATCTCCATCTACTTACCTATACTCGACCCACCGCCCGACCTTCCTCAACTTTCATATCCTCGATCCACTTCCATATCTCCTTCAACCTTCTTATCCTCGACCCACTACGCTATCTCCATATCCTCGACCCACTGCTCTATCTCCCTAACTTTCGCATCCTCGAACCACCACTTTATCTCCCTCAACCTCTCTCTTCTCGACCGACTGCCCTATCTCCCTAACTTTCGCATCCTCGAACCACCACTTTATCTCCCTCAACCTTTCTCTTCTCGACCGACTGCCCTATCTCCCTGAACCTACATATCCTCGGACGCACTGCCCTATCTGCCACAACTTACCTATCTTTGACCAACGGTGCTATACTATTTGACACCTGACCTAACGGCGCTTTATTCACGACCCGATCGCCACACTGAACTTTACTATCTCGCGACCAACTTCCATTGATTATACTGGTCGTGTATGCCAATGAGATGATTTAATCGTACGTCGACAAAACATGATTGACGGCACTCGTATATGTAAGCTGGAATCTCAAATAGTAAACAATAACCTTAATTGGAAGTTTAAAAATGTTTTACTAATTCGGCTACTGGTGGTTATTTGTTGGGAATAACAGTTTTCTAAATTTTAACAAGCCTTAATACGTTTTTTAACCCCAAACTATGCCGAATTTCTTTGCGCAGTGGCAGTATCGTAACCAATGAGGTCTATCGAGCTAGCTGTTTGATTAAAATGAACATCTGCTATTGTTATCATCAATTGGAATACTTTGGATTGTAAGCTATTTTGGATATTCGTTCTTGGATACTAAAAATGGATTACTCCGCAGCTCTTACAGGATCAATAGGGATTACAGGTAATCGCCCTCGATCGGTTGTGGCAGAGGTGAGTGATTCTATTGATATAAACCGATTTCTCTACATCTTGGGAGAAAACCCTATAACAAAAGGATATGTCGAACAACTGTCAGGAATTTTTGAAACTAGACCGAAAATTTGGTTGATATCTTTCAAACAGTTGAATCCAACAAATCCAAATGATTCAGTTAGAGACAAATTTATTGTAGAAACGCAAAATGGCATTAAAGTCGATGGTGTAATAGTACGCTTTTTTCCACCCACAAAACCTCCAACAAGGATTAGCATTCGCGATATCCCAGACGAATCACGACCACAAGTCGTTTTCGAAGCTCTGAATAAGGCTGGATGCGGAAAAATTAAAAGCATGACCAAACTATACTACCGAAACACTCAACTATTCAACGGATATATAGCCGTATGGATAGATGATTTTAAACAGGAAAAA